GCTGTATGTCTATATTATATGCTTTATATCTGACTTGTCATGCAGGAAGTGGGCTCAGTGGTTAGAGGATCCTCTATGAACCTTGAGCTTACTGAGATGTGGTTATCTCACCCCGTTTGGGGACATCATTTCAGGTACCCAGAGTAGTGGTGATGCTACTAGGGGTAAGGCCCCCGCATTGGAGTAGTTGATGATGCAGCAGACGATTTTATATTATGTTTAAACTTGATGTTGGCATGTAGACTTGTTAACATGATTATTTTATGGAGATTATTGTATGTATTTATTTAGGCTCATGATTGTATCCTTAGAGCCATGGATTACTTACTGATGCTTTTATACCTTGACTTACTATAGACTTGATGCATGTATTCAGTTAATTTGGGCATGGAGCCTTATTGTTTGTATTGACCCATTGATGGGATTGCAGTCCGTGTGGGACTTGCAAGCTATCTTTTTAAATTATTGTATCAATTAGGTTATATGTATGTGTGGGACCATGTTCCCAGCTATCCGAAATACAGTCGTTATGCTGTCCGTGAGACTCCGTCAGAAATGACACTTGATGTCATATCTTGATGGTCAATGACCACTAATACTGGCTAATGGGATTAATTAGTAGATGTATGTTTAGATTTATGCTTTCGCAGTATCTCACGTGAACGTTTTTAGAAATGTTTTCATAAAAGGTTTTGGAAAAAGTTTACTTGTATTTTTGTAAAATGCTTTATTATTCTTTTAAAATAAAGTCTTCCGCGGTGTATGCCAAATATCATGTATGATAAAAATCGGAGTATTACGAGGTGTTACAAAAAAAAATCCGTCAAAATTATTGGTAGATTCTAAATTCCGTCGAAACTTATAACGAAAAAATTTACGTCCAAAATTTTGACGAAACACATTTCCATCGAAAAGTCTCGATGTAAAACAATTACGTCAAAATTTTTTACGGGAAATTTGTTTTTTGTCAAAAATTTTAGGGAATATACATTTTGTCAAAATATTTCACAAAACAACATATTCATCGAAATTTTTGATGAAAATATTTCCATCAAAATTTCCAACGAAACACATTTCTATGGAAAGTTTTCGTCGAAAATATTTTCATTAAACTTTTTGGCAAAAAAAATTTCTAACGAAATTTTTAACGAAACACATTTCCATCGAAAATTTTCAACGAAAAATATTTCCGTCAAGTTTTTCGATAAAAAACATTTCCATCAAAATTTTCAACGGAAAATATTTTTGTAAAAAATTTTGACAGAAAATATATTCTGTCAAAATTATTTACAGAATCTAAATTTCGTAAAAAGTTTCGAATGAAACATTTCCCTCCAAATTTTTGACAAAACAATTTCTGTCGAAATTTTTGTCAGAACACATTTCCGTAGAAATTTTGAACGAAAAATGTTCCGTCAAAATTTTTGACAGAATTCTTTTTTCGTTTAAAACATTTGATGGAGGAATTACTTATCTACCCTGAACATTAAAATGTTAAAACTACATAAATATGAATCATTTTCAAATGTTATATTATTAGAAAAATCCCAAATAGTGAAAGAATTTATCGACAAAAAATATTTCGTCAAAAATAGGGATGAAATTTTTGATGGAAATCATATACGTCATTTTTTTTTCACAAAACTAAAGACAAATTTAGAGAAGAAATTAGATTTTGCCATAATCACTAACATAACTTTTGTACGGAAAAAAAATTCAGTCAAAATTATTGATAGAATCTAAATTCCGTTGAAACTCTTAATGAAAATATTTACGTCCAAAATTTTGACGAAACACATTTCCATCAAAAAGTTTCGCGTTAAAACAATTACGTCAATTTTTTTTTTGAAAAACATTTCCATCAAAAATTTTCGCAAAAAAGTTTGATGAAAAATATTTCCATCAAAATTTGTGACTAAAAAATAAAATTTTTAGTTAAACTTTTTACGGAATATACATTTTGTCAAAATATTTCACAAAAAAACATATTCATCGAAATTTTTGAAGAAAAATATTTCCATTAAAATTTTCCACGAAACACATTTCTATCTAAAGTTTTCGACGGAAATATTTTCGTTAAACTTTTTGGCAAAAAAAATTTCTATCAAAATTTTTAACGAATCCCATTTTGGTCGAAAATTTTCTACGAAAAATATTTTTATCAAAATTTTCAACGAAACACATTTCTATGGAAACTTTTCGACAGAAATATTTTCGTTAAACTTTTTGGCATAACATATTTCCATCGAAATTTTTATGAAACACATTTTCGTCGAAAACATTCGACGAAAAATATTTTCGTCAAGTTTTTCAATAAAAAACATTTCCACCAAAATTTTCAACAGAAAATATTTTCGTAAAAAATTTTGACAGAAAAAATATGTTGTCAAAATTCTTTACAGAATCTAAATTTCGTAGAAAGTTTAGAATGAAACATTTCCCTCAAAATTTTTGACAAAACAAGTTCTGTCGAAATCTTTGACAGAACACATTTCCATCGAAATTTTGAACGAAATTTTTTTGACAGAATTCTTTTTTCGTTTAAAACATTTTGACGTATCTACCCTGAACATTAAAATGTTAAAACTACATAAATTTGAATCAATTTAAATGCGATATTATTAGAAAAATCTCAAAACTAAAGACAAATTTAGAGACGAAATGACATTTTGCCATACTCACAAACATAAATTTTGTACGGAAAAAAAATTCAGTCAAAATTATTGATAGAATTTAAATTTCGTCGAAACTCTTAATGAAAATATTCACTTCCAAAATTTTGACGAAACACATTTCCATCTAAAAGTTTTGATGTAAAACATTTACGTCAAAATATTTTATGAAAAACATTTCCATCAAATATTTTGCAAAAAATTTTGACGAAAAATATTTCTATCAAAATTTGTGACTACAAAATTTCAGCAAAACATTTTGACGAAAATTTTTTTTTTTTCAAAATTTTTAAGGAATATAATTTTTTTTTAAATATTTCACAAAAAAACATATTCATCGAAATTTTTGAAGAAAAATATTTCCATTAAAATTTTCAACGAAACACATTTCTATCTAAAGTTTTCGACGGAAATATTTTCGTTAAACTTTTTGGCAAAAAAAATTTCTACCCAAATTTTTAACGAAACCCATTTTGGTCGAAAATTTTCTACGAAAAATATTTCCATCAAGTTTTTCGATCAAAATTTTCAACGAAAAAAATTTTAGAAAAAAATTTTGACAAAAAATATTTCGACAAAATATTTTGACGGAAAAAATATTTTGTCCAAATTCTTTACAGAATCTAAATTTCGTAGAAAGTTTCGTATGAAACATTTCCCTCAAAAATTTTGACAAAACAATTTCTTTCAAAATTTTCGTCATAACACATTTCTATCGAAATTTTGAACGGAAAATGATCCGTAAAAATTTTTGACGGAATTCTTTTCGTTTAAAACGTTTGATGGAGGAATTACTTATCTACCCTTAACGTTTAAAACTACGTAAATTTGAATCATTTTTAAATGTGATATTATTAGAAAAATCTCAAATACTAACAGATTATCGACGAAAAATATTTCGCCAAAAATGGGGATGAAATTTTTGATGAAAATCATATACGTCAAAATTTTTTCATCAAATTAAAAGAGAAATTTAGAGATGAAATGAGATTTTGCCATAATCACTAACATAAATTTTGTACGGAAAAATAATTCAGGCAAAATTATTGATTGAATCTAAATTCTGTCGAAACTCTTAACGAAAATATTTTCATCCAAAATTTTGACGAAACACATTTCCATCAAAAAGGTTCGACGTAAAATAGTTACGTCAAAATTTTTTACGAAAAATATTTCCATCAAAATTTGTGACTAAAAACATTTTTGAAAACAATTTTGATTGAATTTTTTTTTTTTGTGAAAATTCTTTATGGAATCGAAATTTCATCAAAACATTTCCCACAAAATAAATATTCATCGAAATTTTTGATGAAAAATATTTCTATCAAAATTTTCAACGAAACACATTTCTATCGAAAATTTTTGACGAAAAAAATTGCATCAAAATTCTTTACAGATTTAAATTCTGCCAAAAATTTTTGACGGAAACATTTTCGTTAAACTTTTTGGCAAAAAAAATTTTCCTTTGAAATTTTTAACGAAACACATTTCCATCAAAAATTTTAGACGAAAAATATTTTCGTCAAGTTTTTTGATAAAAAACATTTCCATCATAATTTTCAACGAAACACATTTATGTAAAAAAAATTTGACATAAAATATTTTCGTTAAAATTTTTGACGAAAAATATTTCAATAAATAATTTTATGGGAAAAATATTTTGTCAAATTTTTTTACAGAATGTGTAACACCTCGTGAAAATTAGGAACCTATGTAAATTACCACTCGTAATGTGAATGCATGTATTGAATTTGAATTACGTACATATGATTATGATGGGATAAATTTTAAATAATATCGGTTACTTTATATGAAGAAACTGTAGTTACAACCTAGGGGATACATGAAATAATAACTATTAGGAAAGTATATAAATTGTTACTTGGAATGAGGAATCTTGTCTTGGGGGCGAATTTTATAGGAGGTTAGGGTGGAATTAATTTAATTTCGGGAAAATTCTTCACTTGCTGCAATTATGGTCAATGTATATATATTAGGAACTCAATGTCCCAGTTAAAGAGGATAGGATAAAGCTTAATTACAATTCTTAACAAAATACTAGAAAATATGTGGTAAGTTGCATGAAGTCATGATTCATTAGGAGAAGGGATTTTGGTCCTTATGGGGTTGAAGGCCACGACCCAAGTCCTTAGTAAGGGTTTGTTTCAGCCCAAAAGTTTTCCTTAAGCTCCTCCATTTGTCTATCTTAGAAAATCTGAATGCATGGTCCCTAATGACCCAATCTAAATGCATGTCCTCCCTCCTATTGGTCAAGAAGCAACCTTATCCACTTTTGTCCCTCTCTCTATGCGTAAGGTAAGGAGAAAAAGCACCAATTTGATTGTTTGTCCTCCTTTGGGTCTAAGATAAACCTGAATGCATGAAATTGGATTGGCCAAAAGATTTCCTACTTATTCCTTCCGCCTCCCTCCACTCGTGCGCACAAAGGGGGAAATAGTAAATCCGCTCTCTGTTGTATTCTTGGCTGAACGTTGGGTATGAGTGTGAGTAGTTTATCACCCTATTCTCCTTCCACGCGTGTAGCAAGAGAACTCAAGCAAAAACTCAGCATAATCACCCCCTACACAAACCGTGAAATTCATAGGATAGCAAGACTCTTAAGCATCCCTCTCCTTCTGCTCACTGTTCGGCTGTGTACCCAAGCAAAGAAGCAGTATTATTTTTATTACTCCCTTGTTCCTCCTGATTCTCTTCGCCCTGTTGGAGATTCTGGTGCATGCAGATTGATATCTTGACTCTCACCCTCCACCCTCTTCATTTGGGCGCACAGTCATCCTCTAGTGGGAGAAGGTGAAATATTTTGTTTGCTGTCGTATTGTCCTTTTACTGGAACCGTTTCTGATTTGGATTTCTTTCCCATGGCATGTCCTCGACCCAGTTTTGATTGGGTCTTTTCTTCCATGGCATGTCACTAAAACCGATTTCTTGGAGCTGTAGAGAAGAAAGAAATGGCACAGCTTTGGGTCCCTGCTCTCCATGGCCGATTTGCACAACTCGGGTTCCTTGCAAGTAGTTGTGAGTCAAGCAAATAACCTTCTCTTGTTTTTTTATCTATTCGGTCGTCTTGTGCATGTTGGAGAATGTTTAATTTTGGTCATTTACTTCCTTTGGAATCTGCCTTTTAGAACAGCTCTAGGATGTAACTAATGTAAGCCTGAAACTAAAGTTTTTTAATAGCCATTAAATTAGCATATGAAAACTGAAATTAATCTCCTTAGGAGCTCGGAAATGGCCCCTTGTTTTGCTGTGTTGGACAGTCCCTTGGGTTAAAAATATTTATTACGCCTCTCATGTCCCAGGAGGGACGAAAACATTATGCTAAAGGCTTAATTGTTCTAGCCTAAGAAAATTGGTTAGTGCCCTATTGGAGTAAAACTTTGTGCACCTAAATTCTGTCCTGTTGAGTAGCTCATAGGAAATAAATCCTGTTTTAAAATCCTTCCTCAAATGTGGTACCAATCGTAAACCTCACTGTATGTATGTCACAAGTCAGATTTTGGAACGTGGGAAAGATAAATCATCACCGCGTGTGGACTGCCCTTTTGACTAGAAGGACAATCTAATTGTTTTGCATATATTAATTAATCATAAAAGGTAACCTTGAGTTAGAAAAAAAAATAGCCTTTGCATGTGCTTAGGAATATGTAAACAGCATGTTGTATGCTTCACTAGCACACCCGAGTTATTGTAAATCAGGTTATGTAAATATTAGATGTATAGCACTTAATCCATGGACAAGAAACCGAATTTACATGCATGTGTAACTAACTTGAATTTTGTCAATTAAGGACAATTAGTAAATTAACATTATGACAGAAAATGTGTTTATTATATGAACTTGGAAACCGATTGTAGAATTAGGATTTAGGACAAGGGAAAACTATGTAATGTATAGGAAATTCGTGTCATAAATTCTGATTGGTTATACTTGTATATAGGTGTGCATATTTCGTGAGTGTGTGGATTTTTTGCTGCTGCCTGGTAATTTAATTGTGGCACGCGAGGTAAGTGTTTGGTGGTATTACCTAATGTGACTATTAGCTAGCGTATAGAATTGTGAATTGTTGTTCACACGTGCCTTGGATTAATGTGCTGTCATATGCTATATGTATGCTGCCTATGAATGTGACAAGATGGAAAATTTTGTATGAGAAGTAATTGTTATGTGGCAGCTTGGTACGGAAAGTACATGAAATATATGCTATTATGATGATGATCTAGTCATGCATATACACCTCATAATTCATTTGTTCTTGTTTGTGTGTAAAACATATCATGGCATACATGCACGAATTTCATGCTGCTCATGGACTAGGATAATTATATAAATATGCATACGTTTGAGTACGCATCATATAGGCATCCCTTCGGTACCAGGGTATGGGACACTTGGCTTTCGTCCGCATAGGCCACAGTTGGAATTCACCTTTAAGGGAGCCATCATGGAATATCCACTGTGTATGTTAGTACGTGCACGATGGTGCTATGAACGTACAAGGAAATGGCGTTATATACGCACTAACATGACTATTATGAATTTACATGACCATGGCATTATATACGCAATAAGATGATGATTAGCAACTGTACGGAGTTTTAAATGTTGATGCGACTGTTTTGGAATTCTGTGCCTAGTTTAATATTGTTGCATTATTGGTTTTGCTATCACACTACTGAGATTTTTCTCACCCCTTTTGGGGCTCAATTTTTATAAAATTGCAGGAGGACAGAAAAACATTTGATGACGTTATTATTTGGATTTTTGTTGTTACCTGCTGCTGTTTGGATTTCTGCTGTTAACTGTTTGTCTGTTGGATGACTGTAATATTGTAATATTTTGGGAAGTTTGGATTACGGTTGGAAGCAGGATTTGGCTACTGTTTTAAGATTTTTTTGATCAGTTAGGACTTTGGAAAAATTCTGGAAACATTTTGCGAAAACTATTTTTTAAGGTTTTGAATGCAGTTTTATAAACTGTTTTGCGAGCACTTTGCAAGTTATATTTAGTGGGGCTACAGACCTCCAAATTGCTTATAATTTATATGCGCGCGAAGCCCTACGTGTCTAGTTTCTGTTTATATAAATTTTACAATGAAATTATGAAAGCACGATTTATTATGATTTTTGCACGAAGACAGGTTTTTCGAGGAAATAACTATTTCAGCAAGCCATATATTTCTCTAAGTTTTCACACTGTTTTAATTTCTTTTGACCTGATTTGAACATAAAATGTCAATGAGACGAAAAACAAATTTTCCGAACTTATCTGCTAATATTACGACTCTAATCCGCTTAGCAGACAACTCCCTTGGATGCAGACAGGGGAGGGTGTCACAGAATGTAAATTTCGTCGAAAGTTTTGGATGAAATATTTCCCTCAAAATTTTTGACAAAACAATTTCCGTCAAAATTTTTGTCAAAACACATTTCCATCGAAATTTTGAACAAAAAACATTCTGTCAATTTTTTAGGGAATTCTTTTTTCGTTTAAAACATTTGATGGAGGAAATCATTTTCGTCAAAAATATTATCTTTTTTAGTATTGTGAAAAGTACCTAAATAATTTTTAGAAATTTTAAGTTCAATTTAATTTGTAAAGTATAATAATTATATCAATTTTAAAAATAGATTAAAATGGTAAAAATATCTCATTAACCCTCCATATTTTCTCCCTTATCATTTTTTAACTTCCAAATAAGTGAAGGGAATACCCTTCAATTTCCTTCCTTTCCTTCCCCTCCATCTCCCTTGGATCCCCCTCATTCTCTTCCCCTCCGAACTCTCAAGCTAAGTAAATTATCTGCAGCTTAAATTCTTCCATCCAGAGTCAACGTTCGTATCTCTTTTAATTTATTTTGGAAAAACTGAGTTAAAAAGACAAATACCTTCTTCTTTTTTTTCTTTTTCTTTTTTGGTAAACAAAGACAATTACCTCGTACTAAATAGTAACAACGAAAAAATACCCAGATTCCTTGATTATAATCTTTTTATTGTCAGCAAAGGTTTCAGTCCAAAACTTTGGGAGAACTCTATTTAATAAAAGTTTCACTAACTTAAACATGTCATTTAGGTATTTTCTTTTAAACATTTGATAATAATAACATTAAAGAACCGTTCGGTAAGTATATTAGAACAGAGTACGTAGAACATAACATATAAAAAAACATTTTATACTTTATGTATTTAAAAAAAAAAAAAAGAACTAGACATGTGATTAAAGAGTAATATATTTTAATTCCACTAAAAAAGGGAGAAATAAAAAAGAATAAATCAAAACACAGCTGTTCATTACGTTTTATCAAACACTACCTACTTAAGTGACATACAACCACCTATGAGCCAAAAGGCATTATTGTCAAATGCTTAATAACTAGACATGTGATTAAAGAGTAATATATTTTAATTCCACTAAAAAAGGGAGAAATAAAAAAGAATAAATCAAAACACAGCTGTTCATTACGTTTTATCAAACACTACCTACTTAAGTGACATACAACCACCTATGAGCCAAAAGGCATTATTGTCAAATGCTTAATAACTAGACATGTGATTAAAGAGTAATATATTTTAATTCCACTAAAAAAGGGAGAAATAAAAAAGAATAAATCAAAACACAGCTGTTCATTACGTTTTATCAAACACTACCTACTTAAGTGACATACAACCACCTATGAGCCAAAAGGCATTATTGTCAAGTGCTTAATTAAATTATCCTACAACCCTTCATTAATGTTAAATAGTGATAGCTCATAAGTTGAAGAAGCTCTGATTTGTGATTTGGAGGACAAAATGGCAGTTGACAACATGACATATGAGAGCTACTTGTAAGATATACATGAAATATAATTTCTACACTTTATAGTAGCTTTGTCAACCATGAAAATTATGTATTAAAGATATTAACAAACATCAATCATCATCATTAAGTTATTAGGCTTACATTGTTAGTTGTAGGAATCAAATACTTTCATTGCCATCACGAAAATTATGTGGTTTTTGATCAAACAACGTCTCCATGAAGTTAGAATTTAGAACTTTCTTGATTGAATAACTATGCAAAATACAAACTCCAGAACACTCTTCAATTTAGATGGTGCAAGAACGTCGTACTTGTTGGAGGTTATAGGTTTGAGAGATAAAGATTTTAAGTGCTTGAAGTATTAAACCAACAGGCATCAAGTTTGGAGTACTCAATAAATAGCAAGAACTCTGAAAGCTTGGGGCAATTTGCGTTATGTTATGAGAGAAGTTGGTGCTTTTTGCGCCAACATAAAATAATTGGGCATTACTTTTTGTTTTTTGTGTTGTTTTTTCTTATCTTATTTTAAGCCTTTTCATCTTGAAGAAACTTCGTACAAAACACAATAATTTCATGAAAGTATGCCTGAAAGTGAATCAATAAAAAAATTATAATTTTCATCTATTTTGTGTGAATTTAGATTAATTAATTGCTAAATTTGGCGGATTAAGGATGTATCACATACCGAATTGAACATGTAATTTTCTATCATGAAACTCAGTAACATCAAATGATTGTAGCTTTATAATATCATAGGAACTACATTTAGCCATTTTTAATCAAAGCTAAGAATTAGAAAGAGTGCACCTTGTAGTCCACGAAATTCAAAGACTCTAATTTTTGTTAAACCCATCTGTAGAGTTGGAATTTGCCAGAACAGACCACCAAAAATAGATTCATAGCGCCCAAAAATTTTAAGACGAAACTACCCGGATTGCTGGAAACTCGCCGAAATATTTCTCAGTTATTAAAATTCGTAGGAAAATGTACCTGGAAACTTCAAATTGTCATATCTCCTTCGTCCGATCTTCGTTTGAGGCGAGTGACCGCTCAAAACGACCGTCTCAACGAGTAGAACAAAACCAGATAGGTTTCACATCCTGAAATTGGCTAAAATTTTTAGGATCTGGAATGAAAGGTTGCGGCTGCAGTATCTTCAAACTCATATCCTGAAAAACCCTCCTGTCGAATTGTGAAAGTGATTTAAAATATGAGTTCCTCTCGATGAGATCTTCAAATGGACACCTTACTCACTCGAATACGACATACGAAGCTAATACTTCAAGATTGTTAGAGGTTATGAGTTTGAGAGAGTTGGGCTTTTAGGTGCTTGAAGTATTATACCAAGAGACATCAAGTTTGGAATGCTCAATAGTGTTACCTTCAGCTTAATAAGAAGCTCTAAAGATAATACAATCTATTGGCTCGATCCCATATGAACCCAAATAACTATGCTTTTACTTATTGAGCTTGTATATATATGAACAGATTATTGGATTATATTATTAACATATCCAACAATACTTTTATAGATGATTTTTTATTTTTTATTTTTTTGGTACACGTCACATGATGTTAACCAAAATAAATGGTAGCACATTTTTCTTCTTTACTGGTTTTAAATGCAAATTAAGTGGTGGAACAAAATATCCAACACTTTTCCTTCAAATATGCTGTAACCGAAGTCAAATTCAAGGATTCAACAAGTAACATTGACATAAAATAAATTATTAGACAGTGAGAAACTAATAAATATTTGATTTTATTTCGAAGATAAAAATAAAAAGTGTTGGAATTGAATTATAAATAAATAATCAAAAATTGAAAATTATTCGAAGAGAATTATAAATGAAAAATGAAAATATTTATAATCACCTTTTCTATACATAAATGAATAATTAATAATAATTTTAATAATATGAAAATTGAAAACTGCTTTGAACGAATGTTCAATCAAATATGGATGAATTGCGTTGTTTGGTCTCCCTAGTTGCTCCTTTCTATGTTTTGGTAGATGGTATATGAGTGTAATGTTTCTTTTTGTAGGAGATAAATTTATCTCATATATATATATATATATATATGTGTGTGTGTGTGTGAGAGTGAGAGAGAGAAGAAGAAGAAAGAGAGAGAAAATATAGACTTCATATACACTTTTATATATTTGTAGAAAATAAAATTAACTCATACAATATGTAAAACATTAAATCCATGATATATATATAAAGACTTCGACACCTGTACTATGAAGTTGTGTAATAAAAATAGGAGAGTCCATACTTCAAGACATAGCCCATGTATAGATATTTATGATAAGATATAATATCTGGATCTGGATCCTCTCATGTGAAAATTCACATGACCATGTCATGTGAGTAATCATAACCATACAAATGTGGATCAATGGTAATAAAAGAGGAGAGAAAAAAAATGTTAAAATAGGTAGTTACGAAATCATAACCGTTGATTTATTTTTGTATGATTGTGATCTTCCCACATGACCATATCATGTTTTTTTCCACATGAGAGGATCTATTTTCATAATATCTACTTTTTTTTCATGTCTATTTTATTTATTTATTCTTAAATCTTGTTAGATCACAATGTCGACGAATCTTTATTTTATTTTTCTCTCATCTCACCGTTAATTGAGATTATGATCACAAAGTATTGTAAAAAATTTACGATGGGCAATATCCATCGCAAATTGACGAAAAATTTTGCGACAAGAATATTTTTGATGTAATTTACTAAATTTTCGTTGGAAATGACAACTTTTCTAATAGGAATTAAAAAAAGAAAGATATAATATCCTATCTTTGAATATTTATGGAAAATATTATGAAGGACAGATAAATGATACCTTAAAACATAAGACCATATTGCAAATGATGAAGAACGATCACATGGAGAGGAACACATTTTTTGTGTAACGAAAATAGGTGTTTCCTTATCAAAAAGTGAAAAAAAAAAAAAAGAATACGAGGGAAAATAACTATAAACATAAAAATAATAAAAATAAATTATTTTTTAGGTGAAAGATTTATTTATAAACTTTTACAAATTACAGTATTACACTATGTACTCCAAAAATACACAGTGTAACCTAGTATACTATAGTAAAATTTGTAAGAGTTTATAAATAAAAAATTTATAAATATAACACTTCTCTGTCTTTTTTATTGTATCTGTAAATAATGTATCCAATATTCGTCACTGTTATAGCAGATATTTCCCACCGAAAAGTAGTTATATATTTCTAACAAAACAAAAAACAAAAAAAACAAAAGTAGTTATATAGGGTCCAAATCAAAGGAACGTTGCCCAAACGAAAGGTCCCAAACAAAAACAAAACTAGAAATCACTTTCCATTAATTCTTGACACATAACCCATTAATGTCACTTCAGAGTGCGTATTCAATTAATCGTGGAGGAGCAACCATCATTAATTTATACACAAGACAATAATCCACTTCTATAAAGTGCCCAGAGACAAATGTTCAATCTCCAAGTATCCAATATAATGGACAACTTGGAAGAGGTTACAGAGCCAGTGAGTCCTAGTGGACGATACTTCAACTCCTCCATCATATGTGCGTATGTTTTCGGGTTTTTAGAATCAGAAGTTCCAATCAATGACTCTCAAACTATGTATTTACTCAAACATGTCTTTCTACCTATCAATCCACGCTTCTCCTCCATAATGGTTCTCACTCTGTGCTATATATATAATTATTTTTTTTTAATTTTCTTTTCCTTGCAATTTTTTCATAATATGAACATGTACTTCTACATATATGCTACTCGTGCAGGTGAGAGACAAACATGGCAAAATGATGTGGAAAAAAGTAGAAGTGAGGCCTGAAGACCATATAAAATTTCCCATATTCCCCAAAAACGAGTCATCAGAATTTTATGACCAATATTTTGATGAATATGTATCAAAGATAATGATGGAAAGGACACCGCAAGAAAAACCACTTTGGGAAATCCATATGATCAAATACCCAACAAGCAATGCTGCTGGCACCTTAATATTCAAACTTCACCATGCACTTGGAGATGGTTACTCTCTCATGGGTGCCCTTCTTTCTTGTCTTCAGAGAGCTGATGACCCTTCTCTTCCTCTTTCCTTCCCTTCACGTAAATCATCAGAGTCACCACCACCTTACGAGAAAGGCTTCTTCAAGTGGTTCCCTTCAACCATTTTCTCCTTTTTCAAATCTATCTCAGATTTTGGATGGAGCATAGCAAAGAGTTCAATGATTGAAGATGACAAGACACCCATAAGGAATGGTGATGAAGGTGTTGAGTTTCAGCCTTCTGTCTTATCAAACATATCATTCTCTCTGGATCACATAAAACAAATCAAGTCCAAGCTTGGAGTGGTAAGATTAATATATAATTTGTTGGGGTTAATTAGTGAAAATATTCAAATTGAGTCATCAACTTTTTTTATTGTGGTATGTTTCATAAAATTAAGCTAAATTAATAATATTATCATAAATCAACTCTCCTAATTAAAAGCTTAATTTATTGTGGAAGACACATGAATATTTTCATTATATCTCTATTAAATTTATATATATTTAATATATTTCCTCATGAGTCTTTGGGCTTCAAGTGTGCCCAATACTCACGTAATTCAACATTTTTTTTTAATTCTAAAGTGGCAAGTGGCAAATATCAAACTCTTGAAGTCTTGATCACTTATGTATAGATGTTCTAATGGTATATAATAAATTAACTCTTCCAAACGTTTAAAAATTATTAAGTAAAGACACATGAATAATTTTATTATATTTATATTATATCTAATAATTTTATTAGTTGAATTTCAGACAATAAACGATGTGATTACCGGTGTAATTTTCTATGGGATTCGGCTATACATGCAAGAGATTGACAATAAGGCAAGAAAAGCAAATTCCACAGGATTGGTGATGCTTAGTACTAGGAACATTGGAAGTTACCAATCAGTCCAAGATATGACAAAGGCTGATTCCAAATCTCCCTGGGGGAATCATATTTCTTTCTTACATGTATCAATACCAAAGCTAAGCCAAGCCAGCCTATCCAACCCTCTTGAATTTGTTTGGAAAGCCCAAAAAATAATCAAGAGGAAGAGAAATTCTTTTACAGTTTTTCTTATAGAATGGCTTTTAGATATGGAGCTGAAATTAAGAGGACCCGAGGTGGGTATAGTGTGCACAGGTTCAATTGGTCAATATTTTGGAATTCACAGTAACACAACGTAGTCTTTTATTTGTTCTTTGTTTTTTTTCAAAGCCTTTCACTGTCAGGTTCTGGTGTTGCAGGCAGTTGCTAAACATATGTATGGTACACTGAGAAACTCAAGTGTTGTGATGTCCAACTTGATTGGGCCAGTGGAACCTATGGCTTTGGCAAATCATCCTGTGAAAGGCTTGTACTTTACAATGACGGGAGGACCTGAGGTAATCATAATCCTATATCTGGTTGGCTAAAAGCCTAAGCAATTTGGGAAGATTTTCTAAAACTGAGGGTAGTAGCCCATGACTGATCAGTGACATAGTAACAAAAACAAAAAAACAAAAAAAAATCCTCACTTCAAGCTAAATTTTGTATGCCACAATAAATAACAAAGGTTCTTAAGTGTGGAGGGAGAGAGGCTCGTGGATCACTGTTTCTGTATATGCATCTGTCTAAGTTTTCTAGTTTATCTGTCTTTTTGACGCATTTAATGTGAACAGAGAAACATTTTCTCTAGTTGATTCAAAGTCTAAACATTTTGCTAAAATAATGCAGCGAGACACAAAATGTGTGTGTGCAAATTGCACATCAAGGAAATGCATGACTTATGCAAAAACTAATGTATACCTGGCACGTGAAACGCGTTGCAAGTTGTACATGGGGTGTGTGTATTCAAGTCACCTATGGATGATGTGCGACTTGTAGCACACAACATGTGGCACGTGCATATTTTCACCTCTTACATGTGTGACTTTAACATCTATATTTTATGTGCGTTTCACTGCATTATTTTAACAAATATTTAAATTTTGAATAATATGGAAAAAGGTTTCCCTTTCACATTATTATTATTAAAAGACCCCAGTTTACCCTTAAGATATCCAAATAATTGAATTCAAAATACTCTAAAATAAAACAAGTTAAGATTTTGAGAGTAGATAGAGCAGAGTTTATATATTCGGGTGGATGACCTGCCCTATTGTGTAGCTCATTTTTTTAATGAATAAGTAAATGCTAATAAACTGTATCTCTGCCTGTAATTAGTGATTCTTCTCAGGGAAAATAATATTAGATAAATGTTATACTATAACTTTTTTTTTTTTTGCAGTCTATAAATATTGCAGTTATGAGCTATACAAGAGTATTAAGAGTTACCTTGAAAACACAGAAAGGCTTTATTGATGAGCAGAAGTTCAAATTCTGCATGGTGAAAGCCTTTGAGGACATATCCAAAGCAGCAACGGAGGTACCCAACAAAAGCAAGGGTTAAACTATCTACTTAATTTTTTATTCATGAGTTATAACTCTACACTTTTCTTATATACACCTTACTTTATACTAATTAAATTCACTAATAAAGTGAATCTATCAGAAAAGGGAGGCCTATGCATATATCTAAAAAGAAAAATGTTAGCCCGCATTCGATTAAATTCAGTTTGACCACTCTCTGGCTTTAGTTAAAATTAGTGTCCCATGTGATATTGATTCATGTACCCAAAGCCCATTTGCAATTAGTTTTGTAAGTACAAACTCCGTTGTGATATCATTATGTTAAATTAAATTGGTATGGAATATTGGTACCAAAAACAAAATAATTGCCATGAATTATTTAATTAATCTCAATAGAGAATTGGTATGCTGAATATTATCTGAAAATTCTACAGTAAAGTGTCAACAGCTCTTTAAATTTAACCTAATGACTCAAGAATCTTGTGCAAATGAAACCATTCACGTGGAACAAAATAAATCACAAATTCAAAACCAGTAGTGGGGCATGATCCCTACCCACAACACAAAGGGAAAAAGATCGAATTAAATATGCAGTAATTGGCATATATATGTATAATTCATCATTAACTATGAGTCATTCATTATACAAGCCCAGTTTGTTCCATTCTTTTTAAAGGCGACGGGGATGATTCAACTAATTAGTTGCTTGATATTGATTGGCCCGTTTTGGGTTGATGGCCACGTGTATTCATCATCTCCCCAGTCTAATGATTATATCCGGTTGTTATTGGTCGTATGTGAACCATAAAAACTGGGAAAAGATAATTTTTTGGCTTATAACTTCTTATAAACTCATATATTATACTTTGTATTCCTGAAGTATATAGGCAAACTATGGCAATTGGCAAGTTCCCATACAATACTCATTCACATAGGTCAATCAAGTCATAATCTAACATTTAAAATAATTTCCAAAGTGAACGGCTATTGCAATGGTCTTGGCCATAGTTTGTTTATATATTCTGAAAAGTACAAAGTGCAATATTTGAATTTGTAAGAATTTATAAGTAAAAAAAATTGTAAATATAACCTCTCTTTAACCCATAACTTGTTTTGTGATTGGTTGTACAATGTCACATTCTTATAGGACATATGAGCACCTAAGGCGTAAACAGAGAGACCCATGGGCAAGTTAAATCAGATTTAACTTACTATATTTAATAAAATAAAATTGAAATAAATTTTTTAATATGATTATATCACTACAAAAATTTAAGTATTTTGTGGAGGTTAAATTTGTAAATTGTGGAGCTCTTTGACCCCTACAACATATATTTGTGGCATTTACAGAAAATACCAGTTTCGCATGCGCCACAACATGATTAGTGGCATTTTGGTGTGCAACTCCACAATTTGTTGAAACATTTCTTGGAGATTACAAACCCCCACAATATATTGCACTTTCTGGAGTTCATTAACCTCCACAATATGTTTTCCTTTCTGTCGGTAAATAACCTCCGGAATATGTTTCGCTTCCTGGAGTTTATAGACCGCGACAATTTATTAACTGCATTTTGTGGGGGCTTTAGACCCCCGATAAGTGAGATTTGAAAGTTTAATATATATAGGCTTAGGAGTAGGCCCATCATTGATTTGTTAGCCAATTACTAACATGTGATGTCCCTGAATTTATAATTTAAAACAATTTAATGTGCGAAATTGGAATTTTATGAGAATCTTCTATTCAAGTCACATTGATCCAACAATTAATTCAATGACCCAAAACGAAAAGAAAAAAAATATAAAATCAAACCACACCAAATACATAACACTAGCTTTATTTAAATAGATAATTTAACTTTAGAGATATATTCGTAATATTACAAGAAACAACACTCAATTCGTAATATTACAAAGTCTCTCATTTTTATGAGACCATGGCCAAGCCTGGCTATTGTTCCTGTTAAGCCATCAGCATCTAGTGCTACTGCTTTCTTCACATTTTCAAGTTCACTATGTTTTGCCATCAGTGTAAGAGAGTAGTTTTACCATCTACTCCTTTTACAATAGACCATTTGAGTAGTGTATCAAGTTTAAATGCTAGTGCACCATCACGGAATGTGCCATCATTCATACGGTTCCCAGTTTTGAGAGCAACTTCAAGAAACTTGAGGAACAGCTTGCTGCTTCTTAATTCCTTACATGTAACCTGACATCATATGAAGGTGCAAGAAGACTCATTTGTTTTCTTGGGGAAGAGAGTTTGATACATACCAATGTTGAATCAGGTGTTGAATGCAGAAATCCACCAATTAGAGGATGTCAATTACAATACATACCCCTGTGAAAAAATTTATTAGTAATACAATACAACTCTAAGGAGGTTGATTCTCAAAGAAAATAATTTCACCATGCCTCTTCTTAATTTTGCAAGTAATCCGAACCTCTCACACACGGACATAAGCAAGAACAATATCAGTGGATCAATTCCATCAAGTTTGGAAAATTGCACAAATCTCACAGAAATTAATTTGACAGTGAACAAATTTACTGGGCTCATACCATCAGAGATTGGAAAGCTTGTGAATCTTGTGACTTTGAATCTTCCTCACAACAACTTGGAAGGTCCTTTGTCACCTGAGCTGTCAAATTGTACTAAAATGGATCGGTTTGATGTGGGATTCAATTCCCTAAATGGTTCATTCCCATCAAGTTTCTCAAGCTGGACGGGGATAACCACATTAATTTTAAGCAGGAATCATCTAACAGGGGGTATCCCAGGATGTTTCGCAGAATTTAACAACCTACGCAAGTTACAACTTGGTGGAAATTTGTTTGGAGCCAAAATTCCTCGATCAAAGGCAAAATTGGGGAGTCTGTTCTACGGGTTGAATCTGAGTGCTAATGGATTGACAGGTGACATTCCTTCAGAAATTAGTAATCTAGAAGCGCTGCAAAGTCTGGATGTATCCTTGAACAATTTGACGGGTAGCATAGATGTTCTAGAGGGTCTTGCTTCATTAATTGAGGTCAATATTTCTTATAATTTCTTTGATGGTCCTGTACCAGAACATCTGATGAAGTTATTGAATTCCTCACCATCATCATTCATGGGTAATCCTCTCCTATGTGTTAATTGTCCACTTTCAGATGGCTTGGGTTGCAATGAAACTAGTTATGTGAAGCCACGTGTCTACAAATCAACTGATCACAGGGGTATCAGTCGACATGAAATTGTGATGATAGCACTTGGATCCTCAATATTTATTTATGTCATGCTGCTAATAGTAATTGTAAATAAATCAGGTGTTTGAAAAAATTTATTGTCACCAGAAATCCACACTTGGTTCAAGCCTACAGTTAGTAAATAAAGAAAATTGAAGGAAGAAAAAAATCACCTTCAAGAATTGCATCACAAACTTCTTCTAGTGTCACATTCAATGCTTTCAACATAATTGATAAATTTTGTGATTTCTTGGAGTCAATGCTCTGGATATACTGAGGAGAAGGATCCAGGGATTACAATTCTTTCTTCTTTTGTAAGCCTTTGTTTTTATCCACGGGGCAGCAGTATAGCCAAAAAGTGTCTCCATCATTTCTTCGTTAAACCTTTCAAACATTCATCATTAAGAACATTAGCAGCCAATGATATAGTTGAAAACTTATTTCATGGAACTAAAAATAAAGTTGAAAGAATGACACTGAAAACATATTACTTACTTGCAACCAAAAAGTATTCGAATACCATAAAGTCTCACAATACTCCACGATAAGTATTCAAATACTTCACTAAAGTATTCGAATACTGCCATTCCCAGAAAGTATCCCAATACTTCTTGATAAGTATTCAAATACCACAGAAAGTATCTCAATACTTCACGAAAAGTATTCAAATACTTTTCAGACAGAATGCAGAAACTCGAGTGATTTCTGCATAAACTCGATTTTAAGGGTTCCTCAATGGTTCTAAGTCCAATATCTCCACAAATAGAAGTTGATGACCACTTATTATACATAGATTAACAACCCTTAACTTGAATAATCAAAGTTCCTCTTTTAAGGACTCAAACAAGCTATGTTCATGAAATTTCAAGAGATATGGTCATAGGTTACTTTAAGGCTTGTGAAAACAGTAAAAGGAAGTGTGTTGAATCTGTCCTCACCACACTACAACTCTGACTCAACAAAGCCACAAATTTGGTCTATCAACAAGGTTTTTTCCTCCACAAAATGGCTTCTTGAAGCACCATAGTAAGTGAAAATGGCCTTCACACTCCCAACCCAAGAAGTCAACAACTTCACACCTCCAAACAGAATTCACAACCTCACAAGAAGTGATTTTTCTCCCTCACCAAGTCTGCTCTCAAGTGTTTACAAAATTAGAGAGGAAGAATTAATATAAAAGGTGGTGTCTTGGGTGGTTTCTTGCATTGAAGGCTACGGAGTTGAGTGGAAGAAGGTGGCAGCCATGAGACCAAAGAATGCACCTACGTAGGAATATAAAATCTGACCTAGGTTTGTGTGCATTTCCTATTTATAGATGCACTCATTAAAACTAATAGTATTAGTTTACTTAGTTCCACTAATCAATTTTCTACCAACCTTTATATTTTGAACCTAGACATTTTTCCAGGAATTATCATATTCTTATTATAATTTTTCGAACACTTTGTCGATACGCATTTTATACATAGCTGGTATTAGTTCTGGCATCACTGCTCACTATTTTTACCCCAAACTTGATATCCTTGATCTAGATATTTTTCTAGGAATATTAATATTTTTATTATAATTTTTCAGAATATTTCACTGGTACACATTTATAACGTGAAGCAGAACCGGTATCTGCAATTTTCATCATAAAAGATATTTAAGCATTATTTGTCCTTCTCAATAATTATTCTAATCTTTCTATATTTATCCAAGGTCAATTATGGAACTATTTCCTAAACTCATAATTAATTTATTTAAATTCTTAATTTATCGGTGCAGGTTCTTACATGTACCGACAAAGTATTCTGAAAAATTATAATAAAAATATAAATATTTCTAGAAAAATATCTAGGTCAAGGATATTAAGCTTAGAGTAAAGATAATGAGCGGTAATGTCCGAACTAATACCGACTATGTATAAAATGCCTATTGGTAAAGTGTTTCAAAAAATTATAATAAAAATATGATAATTTCTAGAAAAATATCTAGGTTAACAATATTAAGTTTGGTGGAAAAATGATTAGCGAAACTATTAGAACTAATACTGTTGATTAGTGGGCACACTTATATAAATAGCCATTTACACTAAATCCTA